AACTAAAGTGCGATGAGTGATATTTACTTTCAGCAAGTCTCCGCTGTTCAATGATGCGCAAACACAATACATAGATATTACATGAACTAACAAGTAGAGACTTGTAAAACATAGGTAATAATATGCAGCAAGAAACCTCAAAATTTCTCTTTTAGGCGAGTCTTCAAGATTCAACTTTTCGTATAATAAATAATAAAAAGAAAACCTGACATGGTAAATTATTATTGAAATGCGAGATTTCCCGGGAAAATAAAATTTCCCGAGATTTTTCTCGTAGGGAATAAACGGCGAGAAACCTGGGAAAACGGGATCCCGGGAAAGAAACCCTAATAAAAACACGTGCGTATTCGAATGAGGCGTTGTGTCTTTATTTCAAAGAAATCGGTAGGAACAAACGGACGTTACATTTTTATTTATATAGATATATAGAAGATGATCTGCTTTAGTTCATTTTCACAGAAAAGCATAATGCCTCGCAGAAAAGCAAACTTAGGGCGTCGTACTCGTAGCGCCATCTGTTGGGCATAAAAGCCTTAACCTAGATTATATATTTTAATTTATACGAATATTTAACGGAATAATATACAGCCTATGTACATCCTGAGGTTCTATTCTAAATATTGGTGAAAGAATTTTTGAAATCGGATGAGTAGTTTCGAAGATTACCTGCTGCAAACAAACTTACATATATACATACAAACATTACCTCTTTATAATATTAGTATAGATATAAGGGCTACAATTAAAAATCTATATCGTGGCTAGCGATTCGGAATGTAATTGTAATATTAAAAATGCATTTAGAGAAGTCTACGGTTTTTACTGGCTTATCGAATAAACGAAATGAATGGACCCTAGACCAATCACTGACGCGCAATTGACTGATTGCCCCTGGATGTCGGCTTCTTACAGAAACACAGCTTCCCTATCATCAAATGTCACGGCACGCCCCTGCAATATTCTGATATACTGTTATATTGTATGACCAAATCTTTTGCTAAACGAAATGATCGCCATTCGTTATGTAAATGGTTAAGTTCGTTTTCAGCAATTAATGTTGGGAAATGAACTACCAAACTTGCAAGAGATCTTGGTGTTCGGCTTAGGTTATGCGCTACTAATGGGTCTAGCACTTGGAGTTTGGCAATAACGCCATTTGGATCGAAGGAAAATCTCATCTTAATTTGCTTGCAAAGTTCAACAAGAAATTTTAAGCAGTCCTCTTTAAATCGCATGGCACTAATGGTTGACAGAGGCTCAGTTTCTAAGATTGACATTGTTTTTCCACCAAGAAATATTTTTATCACATCTTGGTGATTTCTTACATTGCCTGAGTCAATTTCAGACAAATTTGTAGTTAGCAAAGTTTTTTCCTTAATAAACATACTTAAAATATTACGATACTCTGCTGAAATCATGGAATATAAAACATGTAGGCGAAAATATTCTGATTGAAGTTTAGTATTTAGAACACTCACTTTGTGTAACACATACTGTAGAAAAACTAATGTATGTTTTGTTCTTTTGTCTACTAGCGTATCATATATAACTTCTGTTCTCATCTCTGAAAATAAAGTTTTAAAGCATCCCACTGTTCTAAAATAATGTTGATAACATTTTCACGAGAAAGCCATCTTGTTTGTGATAATTTTGGTATTTTATGTTGACAACCTCTTGAATCATTTTGCCTTTTGCTACTGCGAGCAAAATATGATGTAATATTTTTTTAGAATTGATTCGAGATACAAAGGAAATGGAAGAAAAATTCCTAAAACGTAACATTTTTTTGTTTTCGTTATAAATAAATAAAAATGATATATTTTGAGTCGTTTTGTTGATTAATTAAGACTTCAAAAACCATTGCCACAAACATCTAACATCAAAACACCGCGAATAAAACTGATTTTTACAAAATTGATTTTTGAAACTGGCACATGGTATTCCCCACGCGCATAACCCAGGTTAATAATTTGCATTTAGTTTGAAAACAAAATATTCATAATTACATATCTCAGTATTTGAGAAATGATTATGATTTTAGAAGCAAGTTAGAATAAAACTGGTTTATATAAACTATTCATTCTAATCTAACTTACCAATGATCGAATTAATTTCCAGTTCTAAGTCCAAATTTTACAGAAAAACAAAAAACGAAAAAAATTAGTTGCATTTTACAAATTATTTTTATTTACATAACAATATAATTACAAAGCTGATAAAGTTCTTTTTTTTATATAAATTTAAATTTTTTGACATCTGTATATAAATATAACATTTTTAAAAAAATATGTAAAAAAATTTGTTATAAAGAACAACTTCGTGACTATATAATTAAAAATAGATTTGAAACTTTCATATCATTTTTCACTTTTTAAAAATAATTTATAAACAAATATTCAATTTAATTAATTAAAATGCCTCAATGTCCTTTTTTTTCTTACTAAAATGTAAATTTTTCGACTATAAATTCGTATCTTCGATTATCAGGACTTTGTAGTATTATCTGTAAAGCCAATATAATAAGTCCTGATAACCGAAGATACGAATTTATAGTCGAAAAATTTACATTTTAGTAAAAAAAAAAAATATATATATATTCAATTTCTTTTAACTTTTTTTTTTTAATTTTTTACTACAAATTGAATAAAACAGTTAAAAATTTGTATTCTTGAATATATAATACTTTCTGTTGAATGATAAGAATTTTATATAGGCAGCATAACATTTCATATATTAACAAGATGTACACGGTACATAAATCTGATATGGCATTTTTAACTCCAAAGATGGAGATTACATTTAAATAAGAGTGCTTTAGGAATAAAAATTTTCAAACATTCTGCTCTTTCAGAAAAAACTCATTTTAAGAATAATTAAAAACTATTTTCATGCTCTCCTATTGGCTAGAACCTTTGGCAAGTATTCCACATACTTATGCATGAGCAGATTTAAATGCACAAAAATTTTATTATCTAATCAAATTCTAATAGTATGTACTGCTGAAGTGATTTTGGAATTGGAAGATTTTTTGCAAATCTGAGACGCTTTGGACCTAAGGTACTTCGGATAGCATATCGACAATAATGCTGGAGGGAGCGTGGTGACGATACAATAGATGTATACCATAGATATTTTTCCCATTCATGATTCCTCCTTTGGTGGTGATGAAAATCTGGTAGAGAAGACACCAGAACCGATGATGGAATCTGTGCTCGATTGGGAGGGGCCCGCCAAGAATTTTCATATTGAACATTGGAAATTCGAGCAACAGTCTGAGGACAGGGTGGAGATTCAGGTTCTGGAGGAGGTGAAATATTTAAAGAAGACAAACTGGGTAAATGAAGCATACTTCTATTAATTGCTTTCAGGATAGTGCAATCTTCAAATGTTTGAAATTCAACTCTTATCAAACTGTATCCCCTCTGATTAGTGATAGTTACTTCAGCTCCATATGCAATCAAAAAGACAGCCAGTTCTGGCCGCCTTTGCTGACGTCCACCATCACAGAAACAGACATAATGCAGAGGTGACAAACCTGAAATAGATAATTTGGCAAAAATTACAAGAAAATTGTTATGATGAAAAATTAACAGAATAAACACAATTTAAGCTAAAATAGATTAACATGATTATTCAAATATCACTAATAGTGCAATTATGAAAGTTTTATTGTAAAAAATTTTGGACATTTCATAAAATCATATTTAATTTTTTTAATTCTTTTATTAAAAAATAAAATCAATAAAATGGATTTCTCCATTTCTGATCTATTAGAAATTATTTATTGGAAAGTTATTTGTTGTTATTTTTCTGCAACTGATTATAAAAAATAAACTTTTTAATAATTTTCATTACATATGAAAAAATCCAGCAACGACATTTAAATTGCCATTTTTTACTTTATTGGGTTTAGGGCAGGGGTGGCCAACAGTTTTTGCCCCGGGCCGAATTGAAAAAACTTTTTCCGCGGGCCGAACCAGAGGCTGCCCTAGGAAGATTTTGAGGTGGTGCGAGATCTCATTGTGGTGTCACCCCTTAGAGACTGAATTGTAGATAGAAATTACAGATACGTTTTTCACATTATCATGCTTTATCAACATTCTACGCTGTATTTAAGAGATTTGTAATGGAAGGTTAACTCTAACCAGACAGCGAGTTCTTGACTTTTTTTTTCTTTAGGCGTTAGAATTTTTCATCGAGCTATTCTGATTTGAGTAGCTAATGTTGAAAGATTAATCGCAGACCACATAAATACATTACATGGGCCACATACAGCTCGCAGGCCGTATGTTGGCCATGCCTGGGTTAGGGTGAGGCGACAAATCACGGACTGGTGAGATGGCGCCACTCTTCTACGAGTTTCCCGGGAATCCCGGATAGAAAAACGGGAACTGGGTTTTTCCCAGAGAGAATTCTGGGTATTGTTGCTTCTTCTTGTCGGGTGATCGCTGCCATGAGCACGTGTAGCTCTCTTTCAAGTGTACTCGAGGATTGTTAAATGTTGTTAAATAAATGTTGTTTTAGTTTAAAACGTGGTCGTGGACTTAACTAATTCACGTTTACAACCTTCTGATAAAGACAGTCTTGGTGGAGATGTAAATGGATGGAGAAAGACGGCCAGGTTTCGTCTAACCGATGGCGGCCATCCATTACCTCCAAGGGTCTCAAAATGTGGAGATTTGCAAAAATCTCAGGAGAATCAAATTTTACACATTTCAATACTTTTTCCTTGTTATGTATACATGTGAGATCCGTGCGATTGTTTATTTTTTATGATTATAAAATTTTTAAAATATTTTATTATATAAAATATTGAGAGAAAAATTTTACAAAGAAAGGAAACTGCTGTGGCTCTCTTCCTCCTGAAGGAAAGTTGAACTTCCTTTCTATTGGCTGAATTGATGATGATTCAGATGTGGCTTTTGCACACAGTACTTGGCTGTCTGAGAAGGCCGATATAAAAACAGATTTTTTCCACCACCATTTCTGGGGGAGTTTGCCATAAGAAGTGCTAGCCACATGAAGGTTCGCATACTATTCAACAAGTTCTCCATATGAAGTAATGGCCACATAAGGAACAGTTCTCCATACAAGAAATTGTCATATAAAGTAAGATGAAGGCTGTCCATAGTTAAGAGGACTGCTACATTGATGTTGATCATAGCGAAATAACTCATCCATAGAAGTTATGACTCCTAAATGTCTCTCTAATCCTGAATGTTCGAATACAAGATACTTACGGAACTGCAAAGGTAGTATAATCTACTTATATTGATGTAAACTTCTCTCACATATATAGATTTAAGTTAAATGGTTGAATTTTCTCTCTCTCAAGACAAGTTCAGATTATATGATTTGTAATCCTTTTTAATGTAATATTATTTTTATTTGATTCCATTAAATATTTTGTTTGTTACTTAAATATGGTCTTTTCAATGAATGAAATCCATGCCTATGTTCACTCCACGTACTTGCGTCTTTCCAGCTCGAAGTTCCTTATTTATGCGTGTTAATCCGCAGATTAATTTGATTAACTGGTGTCAGGAGTCCTGATGAGGAGAAGGGTAATTACGAGATCATCTCTCTCCGCATTGTTTACTTTAATTCATAAAAAGCCCTCTGAAGAAAAAGAGAGCCAATCTCACGATTGCGTGTCAGTAAGTGACATAGAGTTAGAGTTAAGCAATTCTATGTCCTTGGCTTCTCACATAACATGAGTGGTAATCCAAAAACATCTGAATTTGAACATTTGAAACTAAAATTATCAAAGTGGAAATAATGCTGGGGTCAAATAACCAAGAATTAAAATGAATAAAGTGTAAATTAATCAGATTTGACTGCATACAAACTAATTTTATTGAGATAAATCAAATTATACTATTTTGAATTTTTTAAAATAATTGATTTTACCTGAAGGATCTGGTTGATTTATATCTACATCATGACCCTTTAAAACTAGAAGGCGAAGTATCTCTTTGGCAACATGTTTAGTATCACGATTATATGACACTGCAAAATGAAGTGGTGAAAATCTTGCATAATTACAGTGATTAACATCAGATCCATGATCAAGTAATTCTGACACACATTCAACCATGCCTTGTTTTACACAAAAATGCAATGGAGTGTCTCCTGTAAATAAAATTTATAATTTTAATAATTTTATACAATCTTACATCATATTTTAATATTAATTTATAACATAGCAGATGTGTTTTAAATCCAGATCAGTGACTTATTAACAATACATTTGTTTTTATACAAATAAATTACAAGTAAAGATAGTTAATGAAAATATTTTGTGTTAGATAAAATAAACATTACCATAAAATTTAAGACTAACAGATAACTATACAATGCACAAGTTACTTTAAAATTTCAGAAGACTAATTTTTTTACCAATTGGCAAAAGTTAATGCAATGCCAATCGGCATTCATAATAAAAATACCTAATAGGCAAAAATTGGCCATTATCACTGCAAAAGAAGTGATAATGGCCAATTTGGATTCTGTACTTTGTGTGATCATTTTATGAATAAAGTTCACTCCTCTCATTCTTTTATTAAATGGACTAAATGAAAGCAGCTGTAAAACTCACTTTATTTAACTTTGGTCATTTGGAACAAATTCCTATTTTATTTCCTTTATGATTTATTCTAGAATCTTCAATAATTATTATATATATATTACTAGCAGACCCCGCCAAGCGTTGTTGTGGCTCAAAATGTATCTATTATAAATGTATAACACTTCCCCCGTGGGGGAGGGAAAATTTTTCGAAAAATTTCTTCTTAGTGTACATTCTCTTGACTTACCCTATTAAAACGCAATCAAAAACGCAAAAACCCGCATCTAAAATAGTATAAATAGAAGCAGAGTTCTTTACCGTAAGCCTTAATCCTAACCATCTCCCTTCAGTGGGGGGAATTTCGACACGTATATTATATAAAAACACGTGCGTATTCGAATGTAGCGTTGTGTCAAAATTTCAAAGGAATCGGTAGGAACAAACGAACATTACATTTTTATTTATATAGATAGATAGAAGATG